ATAACCAAAACACTGTGTAAGTCACCAAACCTCATCTCAGGAAAAAAAAAAAAGAATGAAAACAAGAAATAATACTAAAGCCAAGCTAAAACTACCTTAAATAAATTAAATTCTGGGGTGAGGGTGATATTGTATCATTACAAAGTATCTCCACATGACTTAAGTTTAAGTTATCTGCAAAAAGAAAAGGAGAGAATATCTGAACAAATTCCTATTAAAATTAACTGGATTCCACTAGAAGTAACTTCTATTCCTTTTTAATGCTCACTCAAGTATACACTGCCTACACCTGTATCAAAAGCATTTCTATCAATTGTAGCACAGAAATTATACAAATAACCAAATAAGCATATGCAAGGGAGAAAATTCAGAGTGAATTTTGCTTTGTTTTCATTTTAAATATGCCCTATTTCTCAGTTTAAAGCTGGCCCATAATTAGTAAATGTAATCTTATAATACCGTGGAGCTTTTTTGAAAGAAGAGAATCTGTACATCACATACAGAACTAAAGCCAATTTTAAATTAAAACTGTATTAATATTTTACTCTATATATCTACAGTTACATCATTCTGTTTTAGGTTTTATTGGTTTGTTTCTATCAAGTTGGGAACTGAACCTAAGGCCTCACATATGCTAGGCCAGCAATTTACCACTAAGCTACATAGCTTTAGTATAAGCATTCTGACTCATAAGTTCACAGTATCATTTTATTTATGTTTTTACCTGAGCGAGGAAAACAGCAGGCACATACTGTGCCTGATCAATACTCTTCAGAAATGCCCATTTATCCCTTCTAGGCTTTAATTCAGTGGTGGCAAACCTATGGCATGCAAGCCACAGTGGGCTGTTTGTATCAGCTCTAACAGGTCCCATCACTGTTCTAGTTGATCAAATTGGAAATCAGTGGAGACTGTTTCTATTTATTTTTGCACTTTTCATGATGCTACATGATAGATAGTCCTGAGCTTGGTGAACCTCGATATGGCCAGATTCTTCTAGACTTCAGTGTGGGAAGGGAACCAGGCGAATCTCCCATGAGGGTGCTACTTTGAACTTACTATAAGTAGAAATTTCTCTCTCCTTAATGAAACAACATATTCAAGTCATTCATATATACAAGGGCATTATTACATTGAAATGCATGCAAAGCAGGAGGTAAATATATCAATATTCATTCATGTATCAATCATTTTAAAATATTTATAATAGGTCTACCACTGTGATTTTGACTCACAAAAAGAAGAGATGTAAAGGTCAAAGAGGAAGAAGATAGATGCTGATGTTATCAGCTTCCCAGGGAGAGTGAACTCCAAAAAAAGGCCCAATGTGTAGATATACTGCATTATTTACAATTTTAAATCTTCAACAATCATCCTCTACATTTGTCTGTGGATTCATAAGGTTTCAGCTGCATTTTTGCTGCATCACTAGCAAGATACAAAATCTTCCCTAATTTAGCAGAACTACATCTGGGTCTTCTTGCAAGCAAAATTGCTCCTACACACCTTGACTAATATTTCAGCAAAGCATATCCATTCTCCCTGACTGGCAAAACACTCTGGGGCCCTCTACCTGGAATATTTAGACCCTTCAGTGATTGCATGTGCTTTATTTCTCCTGCTGTACCACACAGTCTATCTTTGTCACAGACTTAATAATTTTTAGTCTGATGCGATCTTTCAACTATGCCACACTGTTTAATTGTTGTATCAACCCATAATCCTCTAGCTCAGTTGAATTATAAGACTTTATCCTTTACATCAAAATCTCAAAAATCATTACCTTATGTCTTGAAGGCTTCTTTGATATCTCACATTGTTTATAAATATATAAATGACTATTTCTCCCCAAATATTACAAGATTAGCATCCTGAGGAAAGGTGCACCATATGTCTCCTATAGGTTTTATGTATTCTAAGGATCCTTTGCAGTCCAATTATACATTTTTCAGTTATAAGTAGGGTGATTGACTATTCTATTTCTCCTAGGACTAAAGTGGTCTGGAGACATGAGAATTTCATGCTAAAAATGTGAAATTCTAAGGCAAATTGGTACCAGCTAGCCACTGTAGAGCTTAGACCTTTATGAATAGACCTTATATGATTTAGTGTTCCCATAAATTTACAAAAAGTGTTAGATTTATTGTGACAAAGTTAATCTTTTTGTAAAAAGTATTTATCTCACTGAAAATGTGATTTCTTGCTACAACTATTGCTTGATCCAACCTTATTTAGGTTGCTAATAGTTTGCTTATGGAAATCAAAAGTATTGGTGTCATGAAGAGAATCTTGTCAGAAGTCACACAAGTGCTTAAAGACTAAATTTGAATCTACGTTCACTATTTTGACTGCAAAAGGAACATGCCTTTCTGGGGTCATTTATTTATTTAACACATATTTATTATTCTTCAATTCCATTCCAACACTGCTGGATTCTGTGGAAGCAAGACAGGAAGTGAGGTAGACATTGCCCTTGTCTTCATGCTGTGGTATGAAGTGGACAAAAGATCATGAAAGCTCCAGTTAGGTTTATAATTCTACACTTACCACATTCCTTTAACATTTGGCACCCTGACCCAATTATCTAACTGTATGGCTTCAAATTCTCACACATATGAGACACTGGTCTCCTGTAAAAATCTTTCTTATTTTTGAAATAACTAATTAGAAGAAAGATACTTCTTCGGCTTTCCCTTTTACAAAACAAATACTTTATCTGTAAGCTTAGAAATGTTTTCATTTTTATTGACATTGGAGTTGAGGCAATCACTTTGAGGTAATGATCTTGTAAAACTAGTGAGTGAAAATGTTGTTGGAGTCACAATGAAAATATTATATTTAATAAAATTAAGATTGATGTGGCAGTACAATTTTCAGAAAGTTTTCAGTGTTTAAACTTACATATTCTCTAATATGAGTTTCAGTGTTTAAATTTAATTATTTTATCATCTAAAGATGAAATTCTTCTGATTATTTCTAAGCCAAACTTTTATACAAACCATAGCAATTTTTATATTCTCATTGTTTAGCATACTTAGGCAATAAATTTTAGGAAAGCATCATGAGCTGGTCAACTAACCTTTAGAGAATACAATTTACAGAAAATCTAACAACTGGTGAACTTAATGAAAACTGTTCAAAGCTCTGTCAAACTTTCCTAAGGATAAGCAGAAATTTGTCGTCACAACAATGTAACAATAGCAAGCAAGTAATGATATAACTGTGCTCAAGTCTTCTGAATTAGTCTATCTAGAAATGCAACTTTTCAGCTATTTATGTACTTCTGTGTTAGTAAATAACATCTTATGTAGCAAGAATAGAGATTTATCCTGGCTACATTCTTTCAAGAAATACATCTTATCTTCCTTAAGGTGACATGCTGCGGAATGGGAAAACCAATATGCTGACTGAAATTTTTTTTCAAGCAATTATAAAATTTGAGTATCTTTTTCTATCAGCGTAACCTTTCCCTTTTGTGCTTCTCTGAACCTCAGATTGTGATATGTATATTTCCTCATGAACATACAGGTGACCAAATACCTACTCCAAATATGTACACAGAGGTACTCCTGTGAACAAACCATTCTGTTGTGTCAAACTCATTTAAATAATAAATAACCTTGGGGTGGTTTTGTGGCTTTTCACTTAACTTTAAGTATGTGAGCATAATCTTAATCGTACATTAAGAGTTTTTCTACAAGCATGAAAAGTTTTTATACTCTCTTGTGGTAACCTGACTAACTTGGCCTGTCTAAATCCAAGACTGAAAAGCATTGAATGACCTCATGAAGAAACCCAAGTTTAAACAAGCTTGAAGTGTAGAAGCATGGTAACCTGACTAACTTGGCCTGTCTAAATCCAAGACTGAAAAGCATTGAATGACCTCATGAAGAAACCCAAGTTTAAACAAGCTTGAAGAGTGTAGAAGCAGAATGGTAAAAAAAAAAAAATCTGCATTCTATTGTACTTATTAAAATTAAATCTGAGTTATAGCTTATGAATTTATTACAATAAACTTTGCAAAATCATGCAATTTTTCACTTACCTTGAAGTAATTGTTTCAAATACTTTACAGAATGACAATTCTCAGCATTTTTGGCACAAATCCATCTTTTTACTAAAAAAAAGAAAAATGGAAAAAGGGTGCAAGGAGGCATCAACACTAACATGAATATGGAGCCAAGATATTAAAATTCATGAAGTCCTACCGACTGAACTGTTGCAAACTCTATTTGCCTGAAATACTTGATAACACTGCAAGCCAGCAAAGATGAAAACAGCTCAAGGAGGCTTTTTCTGGTGATATTTCACTCCTGCAAATATCAAGTAAGCTGCTTTTCTCCAGGTAGGAGTCACATGCATCTTTTCCATTCTGTAAAGTTAGTCCATAGTTGGTTTTCCAAACACAACAGATCCCTCTGTTTTCCCTCTTATTCCCTCTTCAGCATGCTCACTGCATATGGAACACAAGAAATCTTTGAACCATGATTACATTTTCTCAGACAGCAATGTCTTCTCTCCATGCTTGACTTGAATTGAAACCAAACAAGCACTATGGCTACTTTTGTATTCAGATTCAGTGAAACTCTCTTTTAAATTATTGTCTGAGAGACTATTCCAGAGTGCCGACTGGTCACCTAACAAGGAAGACCATTAATGCAATCTAGGAACGAGCTCTAAGTCCACCAGCCTGCAAAACTTTTGATAAGCCCCTGGGTAAAGATGTAATAAAACATGGCTACAATTATTAGTAGTTTAAACTGGAGAGTTCTGAAGTTTTTCAAATTAAATAGGACAAGTCAATTTTTCTCTAATTTGTAAATTTAAATAGACAAGTAAATGCCTTGAAATCTTAGGCTCTGTCACTCACATTTTCTCAGAGTCATCAATCTTCATGAATCATTTCTTTAAAATGTCTTCAGAATGTGACCTATTCTTAATACAGTTTGAAAGAGTCTTAAAAAAATTCCTTGAGATCCAAGACCAAGCCTTCAGGGGATTCTGTGAAAGGTTTAGCATTTGATTGGCATGATAGAGGTTTAACTATAATCACAAGAATAATTACATGTAGATCTGGAAGGGATCTTCAGAGGTCAAACATCCAAAGACCCAACCTCCAGCTATATGACTGCCGAGCCTTCCCTGGAGCAAAAAAGAAAAAAAAAAATCCTATTTAAGAGAGCATTTAAAAGAAAAATAGTCTTCACTTTCCATGTACTCCTTAAAATATGTAAACTATCTTGGTTAGAAGTCTTACTCCTTTAACATTTACTTTTTTATTATAGCATAGTTAGTCAGTCATTCTCTAGAGTGGTATCCTGTTAGAAATTTCAGTGATCATGAGAGATTCCTTCTCAGCACTGTCCAATACAGCAGCTTTGTGTGGCTAGTGAACATCTGAAATATAGTTAACACAAATAAGAAGGTGAATTTAGAGTTTTGTTTAAATTTAATAAACTTTAAACTAAATTTAAATAGCCACATGATTAGTGCCAGATGTACTCCTGGTTAGGGTAATTCAGAAGGATATGCTTTTTTTTTTTTGGTTGAAAATAATGTATTCATTATTTTCTTTAACCAAAGAGTATTTACAAAGGACTTCCTCGGTGTATTCTGTGTCAAGCAGAGTTCCAGTTCATGTTAATGAATCTGTCACAGAAAGCTACCATTTTAGAGAGGAGGAAACACAAACCAACAAAAGAATTAGAAATAATAATAATTAACATAAGGGAAAATAACAAACCTATCTGAACACTAGTGCTTGTTTATTAAAGTTACTATTTATAGATTGATTTGGTGAGCCCTTGGTGTAGAAGTAAATTTTGAGTCAAGAACTGAATGATAAGCAAACCCACTCCTATTCAGAGCCAGGGAGAAACATTCCAGAAGCTAAGGCCTAAGGCTGGCCCTAGTTCAGCACGCTAGAGAAAGAGAAAGGCCACTGTAACTTAGACTTGGGGCACTCAACCCTGCACTGAAAAGGTCTGAAGCCATGAGCTCAAAGAAACCCCTCTTCTTTAATTTAGGGATGTCAGGGATTGTGTCCAAACAATGAAAAGCTGACTGATACAAAGCAGTTTAAAAGCATCCAAAGGAGACTTTCCTGATAAATTTGTAAGAACTCTTATTTCTCCAGCCCACCTCCAGGAATTCTAGGTCTCTCTGTGTGAGGTGGATTTGAGGTATCCATCGTTTACTTAGCATTCCAAAAATTGTTGGTGCAGGTAGATCTTTCACTACATTTTAAGGAATCATCTAGGAGTTTTAAAGAGCAGTTTCAGTCCATAACTAACCCAAAGGCACCCAGCAACACATCCCAGAAATACAGCTTATGAATTTATTAGGACAAACTTTGCAAAATCATGCACTTTTTCACTTACCATGAATTAATTGTTTCAAAACTTTACAGAATGACAATGCTCTGTATTTTGGGCATAAAACCATCTTTTTACTCAAAAAAAGATGGGAAAAGGATGCAAGAATGCATCAACACTAACATGAATATGGAGCCAGGATTTTGAAATTCATGATGCTAAATTACAGGTTGTTCTAGACCAGTGATGGTGAACCTTTTTGTGATACAAATGGCCTGCTGTGGCATGCATGCCATAAGTTCACCATCACTGATCTAGACATAAAATATTTATAAAACAACATTATAATGCACTTGAATACCAGAATGTTTTTGATTTATTACATTTTAGAAATAGCTAGAAAATATATCATTTACCCCTGTATATAATCAGATGTCTCTCTAGAAATCCAAAATTATGGAAACCTAAGAGGGAAGTTTCTTGTTCTGTGATTCCTCTAGTCCTACAGTTTAGATTTTTTTATGTCTATAGAATTTATGCCTCATGTCTTCACATTCTTCTAAAGATATTGTCTTTTTGTATACAAAATTTATAGTTTCTTAGTGTGTAGACAAAATCGAGAGTTTTGTCGTATATCAACTTTTTTAAACACAATAGCTACGTGAACCTGGAAAAGTAGTGGTAATTAGATGGAGGTGTTGAGGTTGAGCAGGAACAGCTGAAATCACTGCTGTTCCACTGCTGAACGAACAAAGCTGAACCTGCCCCAGATCCATGGGAATCACCCTTACACATCTGCATCAGTGTTTTCCTAAATTATGTTTTTGGACAATTCAAAAGAAAAGAAAAGGACCCTGCCCAACTCAGGATGATCAGTCTTTGATCAAAAGTACATATGGAAATATTATCTTTGAAAATTTCTAGATGAAAGTTAGCAAGAACACTGCAAAATAAATCCCACCTATAGGTAACTCCTACCTTCAGAAGTACAACTCAGATTGTAATACAGTCCCTGGTGGCAAGGAATGCTGGTAACGACTGCTGAGTTTGTTGTAAACAGAATATAGTTTTGATAAGATAAATCAGAGCCAACATCTTTATGAGCAACTGAGCCAGCTACTTTGAACGGCTCTAAAAATTATGTATAGGCCTTTTTGAGATTGCCCATCCCCCCATCGGTAGTCCAATGACTACAGCCGCATTAAAACATCTAATCAACAGCCAGCCCAAAACTAAACAAGGTCCCAGGAGGAAATCTCTTTTTGCCAGAAACGTTTGAATCTTTTCCTAAGTGATGAGCCAAATCCTGCCAAAGTATTTACCCTAATTAACTCTTCAAGCATAGTTCCCTCAGGATGAATTTAAAGTACATTCTAACCAATCTTCTGAAAGGAAAATCTTCTAATTTTCTCCAGATTACTATCCCATTAGTCAGCCGGCCAATCCTTTTAAACTCTATGCTACGATTCTTTCCAACAGATTTGAAAGTTACGGTGTTAAATTTAATACCTTCTCCATGAAATGAGCAGATGTTTTAGAAATAACTTTCTGCAGACCGCTGTTTTGCTCTGGTCCATCTCATTGTGAAAACAATTAAGAAAAATGTGGAAATGTTTAGTGATGTTTCTATGACCCAACAGATATAAACTCTAGAGAAATGATTATGGTTCTGAATGTATAATTTTTATTTTCTCACAAAACCACTGGCAATAAATATAGTGAAATGTTGCCACTGGTAAAAAGACCAAAAGGAGAATTTATAGACAGTAATATTTTTGGCTAGGTCATAATTTTCACTGGAAGTATTTTCATAAAAAATATATTGGGGATGTGAGATATTCCCAGGTAATCCAAGGTATAAAATTAAGAAACCAAGTAAAAATGTGCTTGTTAAGCTGCAAGGAGTTCATATTTTTGTAGTACATGCTAAGGTTATTTAAAAGAGAAATAAAATAAAGGTGAATAAGTAGGCTGAAAAGAAACATTATGAAAGACCTTGATATAGATAATTGCTATAGATTTTATCCTACAGGTAATAGGAGAGCATTGAAGATTTATGAAAGTAAGAGTTACTGATTATCATATATACTCTCATTGCAATTCTGGAGATGCAAAGTAATTGTATGCTTGAGATGGGGAAAGTATAGTATGGTTATCATTAGCAGGCAGGTCGTATAATGCAGTGTAGAAGATCACTTCTGAGTGTGACTACCACTCTGAATTCTCATTCTGTTATATATTAGCTCTATGGCTTTGGGCAACTTACTCAGCATCTCTGCACATCAGTTTTTCTCATCTATAATAAAAAGGAATAATAAAGGTACCTTATGTGAAATAGCATTTCACCTAGACTAAATGATCTTCAGGTTTCATATCTATAGTGCTTAGAATAGCATCTGATACTCAGTAATCTCTCAATAGATATTGGTAATTATTACTAAGTACTACCTACTTTGTGCCAAGCACAGTTCTATATGATTTACATACTTTATCTGATATTATCCACAAATCAGCAAAATAATCAAATATTAATTATTTGATAAACACAACTATCCCTATTTTGCAGCAGAGGGAATTAAGATTCAAAGAGATTGAGTAATATTGCAATGCTCCAGAGTTGTGAGATTAGAGCTGAATTTGCTCTGTTTTGCAGCACTTTGCCCCTGGGGCATATACCCAGCTCACCTTCCTTCTTGGAAAAATGCTATCAATGAAATTAGGTTGACATAACAAGAGAAATACACACCACCACTCTTCACTGCAAGCTGAAGAATTATGTGACATCAGCTAACTCTGTGAAAACATCATGTAAGATAGTCTATGAACCAAACATTTTATCTTTCCATGCATCCACCGCAAATTCTTAGTAATAAATATGTTTAGCTGAAATACTCTTTCCATCTCCAAAGACTACATTTCAAGGAATTTAGTTCTCATTATATACAAATCTTCCATATCTCCCTTTACCTTCTCACTAATCATTAACTGGCATGATTAGGGCTGTGCTTGAAGCCAGTTGCTCTGACATCCATAGCCCATTGGATTAAACCATGAAGAAAATAAACAGGAGCTCAATTCAGAACCTACCACAGTAGTTCAGGAAAATAAAGAAGGTCTAAAATACAGAAGTATCAATGAGAGGTTTTTTTTTCAAATTGAAAAAAGATATTGTTGAACTAAAATGGAAGAGGTCTGATAACTAATTTTAGGTGTAAATTGTGAGAGAGGAAGAGAGGGACCAGGGCCAGCATGACCAGAGTGGTCTGAATGCTGCAACTTGGGTGTTATGGGTGCCACAAAGAAGCTGTACAGCTTTACAGAGCAACACACAGTGGTACCCTGAAAAGACAAACCCCAAGTGAGAAAGTTACTCACCTCATTAACAGTATAATCCCACTACTTCGATTACAAGCTGTATGATTTCAAATTGGACCAAGGCTTCTTGCCTTTCCTGTGCTAGTTTACTCCCTGTAACCTTTTGTGCAGTAATGGCTGCTTCCTCATTCCAGAGGTCATGGGCCGAAACATCTCGGCAGCTACCTGTTCCTAACTTGGATTATGAGTATAACAAACAGAATAAAAGAAAAAAAAAATCAACTGTAAAAGAGTGGGAAGGTCAATTTGGTTTCAAATATAGCCACTTTGTACTATTAAATGTACTGTCAAAATATGGCTCTAAGATTTAGTAGAAAGAAACAGAGTCACATATATAAAGTATTTTTGAGTCACCTAAATAAGAAAGATGACTTAGCTATGAAAGTGAACTAAGTTACAATGAGAGAAGTATTCAGAGGGAGGAGAGAACTGACCCCAAATAACGGAATGAAT